TAATGAGAATTAATTTCTACCAATGAATTTTAAAACTTAGGTGAAATGGGCAGATTCCTGAAAAATGTAACTTACTCAAACTGACAGTATAGAAAATCTTAATAATTACGTACCTACCAAGAATAGGTTCTGTAATTTAAAGTCTTTCTATGAAGAAAAAAATGCCAGGTGAAAATAACTTCACCAGCAGATTTACCAAACACTTAAGAAAGAAACAACAGAGACACCTGGGTGGCTCAGTTAGTTAAGTGTCTGCCTTTGGCTGCTATCATGATCCCAGGGTCCTGGGATTGAGCCCCGTGTCAGGAGCCTACTTCTCCTTCCTGCACCTGCTACTCTGCCTATGTGTGCTCTCTCTCTCTCTCTCTCTCTCTCTCTCTGTCAAATAAATAAATAAATAAATGAATAATAAAGTGTTTGAAAAATTTTTAAAAAGAAAGAAACAACACTAATCTTACACAAACTCCTCCTAAGAATAAAAAAGAAGAAATGCTCCCCAGCTCATTAAGTGAGGCTAGTATAACTATGATACTAAAATGTGAAAGGACATTAATATAGATACAATAATCCTAAACAAAACATCAACAAATTGAAACTAGCAATATACATAAAAGAATTAGATCTCCCTACCAGGTTGATTTATTCCAGGAATTTTAGAAGATTTGGCCCAAAATTCAAATAGTATATAGTAATACAAGATTTTTTTTTTTTTGAGGTTTTTTTTTTACTTATTTGACAGAGAGAGTACAAGTAGGGAAAGCAGCAGGCGGAGGGAGAATGACTTGGGGCTTAGTCCCAGGACACTAGGATCATGATTTGAGCTGAAGGCAGCCGCTTAACTACTGAGCCACCCAGGAGCCCCTAAAATCTTAATAATAGCAGGAACTGGGTGAAGGGTGTATACAAACAACTTTATGAATATCTAAAACTATTCTAGGGGCGCCTGGGTGGCTCAGTGGGTTAAAACTATTCTAAAATAAAATTTTATTTAAAAGTGTAATTCATTGCATTAAAAAGATGAAAAATCATATCTTAGGAGATATAGAAGCAACATTAGGTAAAATTCATCCTTTTGCAAAAGATCCCTTAAATTCAGCTTAGAAAGGAATTCTTTAATCTAACAAACATAGCTATAAAAGTCTGTTGCAAACATCACATGGCAAAATGTTGAAGGCTTTCCTTAGTGATTGGGAACAGACAAGGATACCAGTTATCAATACCTCTATAGGGTGCCTGGGTGGCTCAGTTGGTTAAGCAACTGCCTTCAGCTCAGATCATGATCCTGGAGTCCCTGGATCAAGTTCCACATAGAGCTCCCAGCTCCGCGGGGAGTCTGCTTCTCCCTCTGACCTTCTGCCCTCTCATGCTGTCTCTCACTCTCTTTCCCTCTCAAATAAATAAATAAAATCTTTAAAAAAATCAATACCTCTATAGAATATCGTATTAGAAGTTGCACCCAATACAATAAGGCAGGAAAAAAGCTACATAGGGTATAAAGGTTGGAAAGAGAGAAACTCAACTATCATTATTTATAAGTGATATGATTGTATACAGAGAAAATTTGAAAGAATCTCTAGATTGTTAAAATCAACAAGTGCATGTAGCTGAGTGGCTGGATACAAAGTCAATAAGCAAAAATCATTTTTATTTCTATTACCAGCAACAAACAAAATGAAATCTTAAGAAAGATGCCATTTACAATATCATCCCTAACAATAAGTCTAACAAGAGGTGTGTGGTGCCTCTAAGCAACAAACTATAAAGCATTATTAGAGAAATAAAAGGAGATTACATAAATGGAAAGAAATGAAATGTTCATTGATTTTTGGAAAACTCAATATTGTAAAGATCTCAGTCATTCCCAAACTGATCTATGGATTCAGTACAAAGTCAAGTATTAACAGCCCATTCGATTCTAAAATTCCCATATGGAAATGCTGAGGATAGATTCTAAAATTTGTATGAAAATGCTAAGGATAGGTTCCAAAATTAATACGTAAATAGCTTAAGTCTTAAAGAGAAACAGGGTGGGAGGGCTTGTTCTTTATATCAAGATTAGCTATAGAGCTAGAGTAACTAGAATTATTATTGCAAGAACAGATGAGCACTGGAACAGAACAGAGAATCCCGAAACATTACAATGTATGTGGACACTTGATTTACATCAGAGATGGTGCTGCCAGGAGTAGTAGGAAAATGATGTTATTTTTAATAACTGATTTGGGGATATCGGAGAAAAAAATTAAACCTGACCTATATCATATATCAAATGCCCAAATAATTTCCAGATGGATTAATACACTCAAATATGAAAGGTAGGGGCACCTGGGTGGCTCAGTGGGTTAAGCATCTGCCTTCAGCTCAGGTCATGATCTCAGGGTCCTGGGATCGAGTCCCATGTTGGGCTCTCTGCTCAGTGGGGAGCCTGTTTCTCCCTCTCTGCCTGCCTCTCTGCCTACTTGTGATTTCTCTCTCTGTCAAATAAATAAAATAAAATCTTTAAAAAATATATATGAAAGGTAAAACAGTAAAAACTTACAGGATTCATAATGTAGAATATCTTCATGACCTTGGGGTAGAGAACAATTTCTTAGCCAGGACACAAAAGCACTTATCATACAGGAAACTATTAATAAGTTGGACTATGTTAAACAAGAGCTTATATTTATCAAAAGACCCTTTTAAGAGTGTGAAAAGACAGGGTACAGAGTGGGGGGAGCGTATTTGCAACACAATCAACAAAGGGCTCACTTGCAGAATGTATAAAGAGCTGCTGGTCAGTTAGATGAGACTTGAACAATTCTCTATTGAAAAGAGAATATCAAAATGGCCTGTAAAGATATGACAGGATATTCATTCACATTAGTAATTGTGAAAATGAAATTAAAACCACAATGAATGATTCTATAAACCCACCAGATTGGCTAAAATTGAAGATGAATTAGCAAGAACACCAAATGCTGGCCTGGGTGTGTAGCAACAGGAAGTATAAATTAGTATGTACACTTTAATAGATAATTCCAAACTGTTGTCCAGAGTTGAACATCTACATAATAACTGAGCATTCATTTTTTTTAAAGATTTATTTATTTATTAAAGAAAGCACAGGCAGGGAGAGGGAGAAGCAGGCTCTCTGCTCAGCAGAGAGCCTGACAATGGGGCTCAATCCTAGGACCCTGGGATCATGACCTGAGCCAAAGGCAGACGCTTAACTGACTGAGCCACCCAGGCGCCCCATAACTGAGCATTCTAATTCTAGGAATATACTTCACAGAAATGGCAGCAAAGAAAAATGCATAGAAATAGTCATAGTAGTCAAATTCACAGTAGCCAAAAATTGGAATCCGATCAAATGACCACTGACAGTAAAAAGGATAAATTATGGCATATGTATACATAGCAGAATTGTATACAATAATGACAATGAACTACAATAGGCAAAACACAAACATAATCTTGAGCAAAAGAAGCCAGGCACAAAAATACATATTTGATTGTTCTAATTACCTAACGTTCAAAAACAATGAAAACCATAGTGCTTGTGGATCCACACATGCTTACATGGTAAAACTGTAAAGAGCAGCAAGGAAGTGGTTTCAGTAAAGGTCAAGAGGATGATTTTCTTTGGGAAGTGAGAGACCTTATACATTTGTATTGTGTAGTTTTAGGTTTCTCATACTTGACAATAAAAAGATTTAAAAGTTACCTACATGAACAAGATTTTTGCAGGAGTTTTTAGAAGCCGGAAAACAAAGTAATGTTCCTCACTTGGCTGATTCAAGAAAGCTAAAGTAAGGGGGAATGCTGAGTTCCAGCTCAGAATTCTCAGAAAGCAAAGGAATTGGTAGTAGCAGTTTCTAGAATTGGGAACTGTGGGTTGGTGGGAGGAGGGAGATGGTCACTGAGCTATAATAAGTCTAGGCAGAAGCTGTATGAAAAGCAGTTACAGTCCTAGTTGCCCCTGGGCAACTGCCTGTTCTCCAGGTCTGGAGGCTAATCTCCAAAAAAAGTGTACACCGAAAGAATTCCTGGATTAGGGATACAACTGAGGGCATCAATACCTTGCCCAAAACAGGTGAATTGAGTGGCCATGTGCATCCTCAATATTGATCAAAAGAACTCCCTCACACAGGCCCATGCTGATGACTACCTGTAAACCTGCCAGTCAGTGGTCCATCCAGCAACTCGGAGAACCTTTTAGGCCCCCATTCTCAATCACAGGCAGACTCCAAGGATTACCCGCCACCTCAGGAAAGTCTTGTAGAAAATCAGCAACACTAACAGCAAAAAGCAATGTGAATGAACTTGAGATTCTGAAGAAAATATGAAACTGAAAAGGGGAATGACTATAATATATAGTATCTCTAAAAAGAAACAGGAAGATAGTGGCTCCATTAAACAAAAGCATACGGCTTTATTTATTTTTTTTAATATTTTATTTATTTATTTGACAGAGATCACAAGTAGGCAGAGAGGCAGGCAGAGAGAGAGGAGGAAGCAGGCTCCCTGCTGAGCAGAGAGCCCGATGCGGGACTCGATCCCAGGACACTGGATCATGACCTGAGCTGAAGGCAGAGGCTTTAACCCACTGAGCCACCCAGGCGCCCAAGCATACGGCTTTATTAAGAGATTTGTAGGCTGTTCATTTTGCCCTTTGTTTTTGTTCCCTGTTTTCAGCATCATTTGTTTCCCAAATAATATCTCTTTTTTTTGTCCAATTTTATTTGCATGACTTGTGGGGATAGGGTATTTTGGATGACAGCAGGTATGAATTAATGTAAAACTATAAACTTTTAAGAAATGGAAAAGCTGCTGACAAAAAATCTGTAATTTAATACCCTATCATGCTACCAAGGATGTCTCTTCTGAGCCAATAAAGATAGTAGCCAGCTTCTCTCATTGCATTTCACTTTGTTTTCTCTCTTCCATGTCAACTTAAATTTCTCTTCCCATATTTCTATCTTCATCTCCTTGTTTCTTGGTGTCTCTTCTCCCTGAAGATCACTACATTTCAAGCTATCGGAAAGGTATCCGACTAAAATGTGCTAAGAGCTTAATACTCTCTGTCTGTCCCACCACAACCTGTTAATTTTATTAGACCTTTTTAGTTGTAGTTGAGTGATTCAGACAGGCTCTCCATCCTCCCTTTTCTGTTTTAGTGTAAATGTTTTCTTTGCACCTGCTATATAATTCTGCAGGATGTTGAGAGCTGGAGAGGTGAGGAAGGAGAGACTATGTTTCTCTTTCTGACTTTTGAGTGCGGTCACCTGGTGCATGCCTGGACCTTGGCTTCTCATGTGCGAGCTGTTCCCTGAATCTTAGATGAGAAAAGTCCATACGATGTTGTTGTAACTTTTTTGGTGTTGCTTTAAAAAGACTTTCCCCACCATCATAATTTATATTGCACAGTTGTCTATGGTAGGAAATAACTCACTGGCATGTGAGTAAGTGAGGATTATAGAATGAAAGCAGCCCTCACTAAGTTGAGGAGAGCTAGCTCTGTCTTTTGTTTGCCCGCAGAAGACAACTGTGTGAATCATCACTTGCCATTTGGCAGGCCAAACCCCCGCATCCTGAGGTGGCCCACAGCATTCTCAGAAGAGATCTTTGCTCTAGTGACTGTCTTTGTTGACTCGTGTATGTTTCATTCTTTGCTGTGCTCTGTATTTCAGAACCACAGATGAGTTCCCACCTCTTGTAGGTCCATCCAGTCTGTCTGTGTTGTGACCCCCTCCATTTTTTTCATCTTGCTTTTCCCCTCTTCTGGGTTGTTTTTTCTCTTGCTCCTTAGAACTTCTTGGGATTTTTGTTTGTCTAAACAAGCTTAGGCCTTGATTTCTTTTTTAAAATGACAATTTCTTTAACTTAGAAAGATACTTCATCCTGCATTTTTAACAACTAACCTGTTAACAGATTCTTTTAACTCACTGATTCTTTGTATTCCTGAAGGAGGCACTACAGTTCGGAAGGAGGTCATCAAGAATAAAATCAGAGCCATTGGGAAGATGGCACGGGTCTTCTCAATTCTGCGGTAAGGATAAATCTGTTATTACAGTGTGGGAGCAAAGCATTTTGAGAGAAGATTAGAAGTTGATTTCAGAACAGGTTTTTTAGAATTGGAGTTTATATGATTAGATAGGTCTTCAGAGTCAGAGCTAAGTGCACATTGAATCTGACCTCTATGTTAAAGTGACTAGAAATGTTTTGGCAAACATTTCTTTGGTATGAGCTTAAATGTAGTGAATGGAGTGATTTAGTGTGGCTTCTGGAGCCAGGTTGCCTGTGTTCACATTCTAGCTTAGCCTCTTCTTACTGTATGATTTTGAGCCTCAGTTTCCTTGTCTGTAAAAGTGTGATAATAACAAGACCTGTCTTACACAGTTATTAGGAGGGTTAAATGGCATGATATAATGGAAGCATTAAAATAGTACCTGGCTATTAAGTACCTCTAATTGGAAAAACAAGAACCTGCTCGTTGCTTAAAATTGGAATACTTAGAGAAAACATCTCTTTCTTTGGGTCCGGGAAGAGGGATAGGAAGAAGGAGAACCTTTCCTCCATCTCTGTGCATCTTTTCTTAACTTCCCTTCTAGTATCTTTGAACTGTTGAGCAGTAGCCACCCTGACATTAACACGGGGCTTTCAACTTCCTTTGCAGAGAAGAGAGTGAGAGCGTGCTGACTCTTAAGGGCTTGACTCCAACAGGAACACTCCCTCTAGGTGTCCTCTCAGGAGGAAAACAGACTATTGAGACGGGTGAGTATGAGAAATGCTCCTTTCGTGGAAGCCCAGCAGTCAACATAAAATTGAAAATCAGGACTTCTTTCAATAAATGGTACTAGAACAATTGGATATCCACGTGGGGGGAAAGTGAATCTTAACTCTTCTTTATATACACAAAAATCAATTCAAAATTAATTATAACTTAAATATAAAAGAAAAAAATAAAACTTACAAACAAATATGGAGAGTGTTGGAGTAGGTAGAGTCCTTAGCTAGGACACAAAAAGTGTTAACCTTAAAAGAAAAAAATCAATTAATTAAATTTCATTAAAACTAAGAATTTCTAAAAATACATGTTTAGGAAATGGCAAGCCATTAACTGAGAGAAGATTTTTTGCAGTACATATATCTGACAAAGGGCTTAAATTCAGAATCTGTAAAGAACTATAGACTCAATAAAAAAGCACAAACAACCAATTTTTTTAATGGTCAAAAGATTTTAACAGGCACTTCACAGAAGAGGGTATCAAAGTGTCCAATGAGCATATGAAAATATGCTCAATATAGTTACTCATCTGGGAAATAGACATTAAAACCACAGTGAGATACCACTACATATTTGCCAGAATGGCTAAAATTAAAAAGTCTAATAATACCGAGTGTTGGTAAATTTGTGGTGAACAGAACTGGATACATTGCTGGTGGTCATGTGAATTGGTTCAACCACTTTGGGAAACTCTTGGGCAGTTAAACAAAATGTATATCCTACCCCATAACCCAGCAATCCCAGACCTAGTATATTGAAGAGGAATAAGTACATCTATCCACCAAAGGATTTGCATAAGAATGTTCACTAAAGCTTTATTCATAATAGCCCAAAACAGGAAAAAATCCAAATGTTCATCAATAGTAGAATAGATAAATGTGCTCTGTTTATACAATGGAATACTGTACATCAATGAAAAATAAAATTACGAATTCATGCAAAAACATGGTTGAATCTCACAAATATTATGGTAAACTAAAAAAGCTAGGCACAAAAGGGCACAGACTGTCTGATTTATATGTTCAAGAATAGGTACACTAGCCAAACAGTAATAGAAATCAGAATGGCACTTCCTCTGGTGGGAGAATATTGATCCATAAGGAGAAAGCGGCTTTCTGGAGTAATGGCAGTGTTCTATATCGCTCTCTGGGTAGGAGTTACACATGGGTATTCATACACAAAAATGTATAGATCTGTGCACTTTAGATATGTGCACATGATTAATGTCTCACTTACATATTGTTTCTTAAAAAGATTTATTTATTTTAGAGAGAAACAGAGCACTTGAGTTGGGGGCAAAGGAGAGAGAGAATCTCAAGCAGACTCCCTGCTGAGCGTAGAGCCCTCAAGGGGCTCCATCTCACAACCCTGAGATCATGACCCAAGCTGAAATCAAGAATTGGTCACTTAACTGAGCCACCCAAGCACCCCACTTATGCTTGTTTTATTTTGGGGTGTTAGAATTTCTCAGAGAGGGTGTTTGCCTCTGCCTGTGAGCAGAGTGCCAGTTCTAAAAAGCGTGTGGACACTGTCTTATAAAGAGAGGGCTTTATGAAACCCCGGGATGAAAATATTAATGTTTGTCAGGATAGGCATAGATCTGATCAACCAAGACGACTGATTCTAGGCACAAAAATGCAGTTGAAACATTAGCAACTTAAATTAGAGTTTCACTGCTTTTTTGTCCCTGGTTTGTTAAATTGTTTCTATTTAAGTTTTTCTTTTTTCTTGTCATTTCATTACTTATAGGAATGCTTTGCTTTTTGTACTAAGTCTGCTGATACTGATTAATAGAAATAAGCCCTTTTTTCCCCTTTCTGTTTATGGGATTGAATTCCTCCTTCTCTTTCAAATTAAATACTGGAATATTGGAGGTTAACTATTTAGAAGGAGGAATGAACATTTTTCTCCTTGGAAGTACATAACTAGTTATGAGACTGATGTGCCGCCTACTACGCTGAGGCACCTAGTACATGACTAATTAATTTCTTTTGTTTCATGGAAAGGATTAGTAAACTATTTCAGGATGAATTTTTTTCTCCCAAATGAATGTACAGTTTCTTGTGAGCAAAATACTTCCCCCATTACTTTGGTAATTAGTCATGTGAGTTACCGTGAGAGCACTTCTGACAAGGCAGGTTGGAATTAGTAGGAAACACTATGGTTGAAGAAAAAGGGAATGTCTTCTACATCCTTACTTGAAAAGTTTTGGAAACTTGCTGATCCACAAAGTTGTTTCAGTCTGGACATTGAAAGAGCAGATCTGGGATGAATTAGGAGGAGAATTAAATGGATATGCTATTTGGAGATTTGTTTGTTTATAGTCTTTGGTCTGCCTTTTGTTCTCAGTTCCAAGTATATAGTTTCTCTTCATTCCTAATTGGAATATGAGTGTTACAAACAAATACAATTTTTTATTGATGCTTTTGAAATTGATAGACATCTTCAGGAATGCGTAAGAATAAAACTAAGCTGGAGCTAACTTTTTAGAGCTTTTTATGTCTCTTTTTATGTCTTGACTGACAGAAAGTGCATTTGTCATTTTACAATCAGAGTTTTAGTTCTACAAGTTCATTGGAAAACTGGAGCATTAGCTGAAAAAGACCTTTTATTGTTCCTGTAACTTTACTTGGAGAGCTTTCCACCAACAATATCCCATATGGCTTTATAGCATATATTCATTTATGCCTTACCTTGTTTCTAGAGGGTTTTGAATAAGTTACAGTATACGTATAACACATTGAAGTAGAAATAAATATGCTTGGAATTTGGAGCACAAAGGAAAACAAACAAACAAAAAGCCAATAGATGGCCACAAATTTTACTCCTAAGCTTCCTAGTACTGAAATAAAGAAGATTGCCAGGAACTGAATGAAATTCACGAAGGTCATAAAATAAAAAACAAATAAGTTATAAATTGGACTACATCAAAATTAACATGTGTGCTGGAAATGGAACCATCATCAAGAAAGTGAAAAGACAATGCAGCCCATAGTTGGGTGGAAATATTTATAAATCATATGTTTGAGAAGGAACTGGTATCTAGAAAATAGAAAGAACCCTTATAATTGAAAAATAAAAAGACAACCCAATTAAAAAATGGGTAAAATTGAATAGGCATTTCCAAAGACATACAAGTGGCCAACAAGCATGGGAAAAGTTGCTCAATCATTAGACGTTAGGGAAATACAGATCCAAACCACAACAAGATACCGCTTCACACCGCTAGGATGGGTGTGATCACAAAGACAGATAGTAGCAAGTACTGATGAGAATGTAGAGAAATTCGGACCCTCACACCCTGCTGATGGAGATGTGAAATGGTGCAGTACTTTGGAAACCAATCTGACAGTTCCTTAGATGCTTAAACATGCAGTTGACCTTATGACCAGCTGTTCCACTTGTAGCTATATACCCCCAGAAAACTGAGAACATATCCACACAAAGACTTGTAAGCAGATATTCACACCAACATTTTTCTTTAGAGCCGAGAAGTGGAAATGGCTCAGACAGCCATCACGTGATGAGGTGGCTCTTCACACAGTAGCGTACTATTCAGTCATAAAAAGGAATGAAGTACTGGTACATGCTTCAACGGGACTAAACCTTAAAAACATGCTAAGTGAGGGGCGCCTGGGTGGCTCAGTCATTAAGGGTTTGCCTTTGGCTCGGGTCATGATCCCAGGGTCCTGGGATAGAGCCCGGTGTCAGGCTCCCTGCTCAGCAAGAAGCCTAATTCTCCCTCTGCCCCTCCACCTGCTTGTGCTCCCTCTCTCACTCTCTGTCAAATAAATAAATAAAATCTTTAAAAAAACAAAAACAAAAACATGCTAAGTGAAAGAAGCCAGTCACTAAAATCACATATGGTACGATTCCATTTATTTGAAATGTCCAAAACAGGCAAATGTGTAGAGACAGAGTTGATTATTGGTTGGCTCTAGGATTATTGGAAAGGGATTAGGGAGGTAAATAGCATTCTTTTGAGGGTGATGAAAATGTTCTAACTATAGATTGTGGTGATGGTTATACAACTCTAAATATATTAGATCATTGAACTGTACACTTTAAACAAGTGAATTTTATAGTATGTGAATTATGTTTCAATAAAGAAATAAAATAAAAATAAATATATATAAATTAAATGTAAATAAACCAGGTTTTTTTGTGACTTTTTCTTATATATAATGCCCCTTAATGCAGGCTGGTATCTTTATGCCCAGTGCAAAAAAGCATTCTAGAAGGACCCAAGACAGTGTAATACTAGTACACATTTCACCACATAACACTTAAACTCTAATTAGACCAATAACCTATATACAAATTTCAGGCTATGCTTTGTTCTTCAACTTTGTAACAGTAGGAGTGATGTACTGTTTGAAGGCGCTACCTTTTCTTGTGAACATTTATTTGTTCTGTTTGAGGAGATTAGAGAGGGTGTGACATTGCTTTACCACAGGCCTACATGTGGTTGACAAATTTCAGCACTCGATAAATTGATTCCCAGTTTCCAGTTTTCACATTGTGACAGGAAGTTAACTGTCAGTTCTTCCAGTTTCTCCTCTCTTACTGATATCAAAACCTCAGGAACAGCAAACTGTCCTGTTCATTATTTTTCCCTGACTTGTAAAAATCGGTACTGGAGGAACTGAGAGGGTTCTTCTAATAAGATCTTTCTTGCTACAACCTGTAATCTTTTCATGTATTAGGGTTTTTACTGCTTTAAAAAGATGATGCAAGGAAGTTTACCTGTTGACACTAACTTTTTTTTTTTAAAGAGAATCATTTTTTATTTTTTTAAAAGACTTTTATTTATTTATTTGACAGAACACAAGCCCGCAGAGAGGCAGGCAGAGAGAGAGAGAGATTGAGGGAGGGAAGCAGGCTCCCCGCTGAGCAGAGAGCCCGATGCGGGGCTCGATTCCAGAACCCTGGGATCACGACCTGAGCCGAAGGCAGAGGCTTTAACCCACTGAGCCACCCAGGCGCCCCTTGACACTAATTTTTAAATTACTTCCTTTTCCATCACCAAAGGAGAAGGCCCTCTTAGTAATTGGCCCGCTCTCTCCTGCACAGTGAATGGAAACCGTATGGGTTGGAAATGGCAGCTTCTACTAGATCTCTAATCCCAGATTGTACAGGAATTTGTATCCGGTATTGAGTACTTTTATGCCTTTGCCAGTTTAGTACTCCACCCCTGGGCAAGAAATAACCGTTTACTTAAAACCCATGTTTCTCTAATCTGTTATTCAAAGGCCATTCCTTTTTTATTAAGTAATTAAAAAGGACAGTTGGACCCCACATAAATTCCTTAAGAACAATAAGTAGTTTCAAGTAACTATTTTGAGTAGGACCTAGCAACAGCGCATTTAATGCCATCTGAGCTGTTAGAAACTAAAGAACAGTTGTAATGTTAAATTATTTGACTCAAGTTATTTTGATACGTGAATGTCAAAACATAAATTAGCAGCTGGCTATTTAAAAATGAGGAAAGCAGCATAACTTTTGGTTTCTTATAGTCAGCTTGACTGATCCATTGTCTTAGCTATAAATGCTATTAGCTAAAAGGGTTCCCATACCACCCGAAATGTTAAAAGTATTAGAAACTCTCCCACATCACATTTCCGCCCAATTTAGTGTTTCACAGTAATCCTCGCTTCTCTAACTGGTTGACCTTTATTATGGATGGGAATAGGCTGAGGTGGGAGCCTGGGTTGTCTGTGCTGGCAGCAGTACTGTTGGTTTACTCACTCTTTTTCTGTCTTCATTTTTGCATGCCACTGCTCCTGCCTCTTACAGCCACAGTAGAAGCGGTAGAGGCCCGGGAAGGTATGGCCATATTCCTATGATAGATGTGATCTTGTGTCTGTCTACTAGTTTTAAAGAGCTGTGTCAGCATTTGGAATCGTCTATTATTGCATCACCAGAACTGTAACAGTGAGGAAAGGAGTAAATATTTCTAGGCATGCTCACAAAGTGTTTCCTTTGTGTCCCGTATTTCTGTTAATGTAAATGACCCTCTCCATAGCTAAAGTCCTCTGTGGTCTCTGTCAGTTTTAATGCAATGGCTGAAGCTTAAGCAACTGGTCATAAGGAATCAGGTGGTTTAATCCTGTAGCCCTTCTATATAGAAGTGACTTCTGTGTCACTTCTGTGACACTTCTGTGTCTTCTGGGGAGGAGAAACTCAAACAGGTCAGCCTCTTTATCTAATGATTCTAAACGATATCAAGAGCAGAGGCAAAAGTGGACTAGGATTTAGTTTGATTTGTTTCTGAGGTTGCCCTAAGGCAGTCAAGCTAAATCATCTCTGTTTCTCTGAAAACAAATTTTGAGTAACAGGTCATCTAGGAATCTGACAAAGAAAATCATTAGAATTTATAAACTTGTGTTATTAATTTAATTGTGTTTTTATGTAAGGTGGCTCAAAATGGGAATGCCTTTCTTTGGTGATACAAAAGTTCAGTCAGAAGGAAGATATCCAGAAGCTATTATCTAGATGACTTTTAACTTACATTCAGCTCCTGGTTGTGCATGAGAAAAAGCTGTCCTTCTAAATGAAAAGATGAGCTCTTTTATTACTTTTTTTGGTCATCAGTACGCTGTTCGTGCTAAAGTTGACTACTCTGTTCAACTTGTTCTGTTATTCCAGTGTTGCCTTTTCTCTTACATTAAGCATGTTTCAGCCCCATAAGAAACCCTTACTCAAATACACTGAGGTTCAGAATGAACTTGTTAGCCATTTGTCAGGTTTACTTATGCCATGATTGATTGTCCTGAGCTTCTGTGAAAATTACTTGCACAGTTTCAACTGCCCTATTTGCCATAAGAAGCAGTAGCTTCAGGTGAGGCTGATTCAAGTCAAATGTTGCCCGTTACCTTCACCAGACATGTGCTCCTACCCTTCTATGGTTTTCTCTAGGAAGTTGCTGTATGCTAAAAAACTTCAAGCTTGTTGCTTTGCTGTCTAATCGAGCTCCTCCCTTTCCTGTTTTCCTGTAGCCATCAGAGGGTTTTCACTTCAGCACAGGATCCGGAGTTTTGAAGAAGCCCGAGGTCTGGACCGAATTAATGAGCGGATGCCACCCCGAAAAGACAGCCAGTACCCCGATGGGCCAGTGAAATTGGTGGGCCCTGCACAGTCCAATGCTGCGCACAGGAGTGACAGGGGGAGAAGAGCCAATAGTGACACAGAGCCCTGCTGTGGCACAGGTGGATCCAAAACTTAGGAACAAATTTTATTTGTTTCTTATTGGAAAAAAAACAAAAACAACTTTAACAACTTAAACCTGGAGGTGCATTCATAATTCACTCTGCATTTATGCTGTAAGAAAGGTGACCATTTTATAAATTGTTTTTAATTTATGTTTAATGTATAGAAAAAGTGCATCTGTTTTGTTTTTCCCTTTTTTCCCTACTTTTGAAGAACTGATCTGATTGTCTGATACATATGTGAAGTTCTGTGCTGCAAAGGGGACCTTCCCCTAATAAAAGGGCCGTGGAAACCTCCACCCTGGTTTCGAACTAGCCAGCCTTTTCTCCTATTCTTTTGGAAGGTAATATCTTTCATTTCAGACTAATAATAGTGTTTCAAACATAAGAGGGTGTTTTCCTTTTCCCTGTCTACAGGGTGCTGTTGAAAAAGATTGCTCAGATTTCAGTGGCTAAAACTTCTCTTCTTATGGAAAACTTGATTAAAGTAGAACTTCTAAATGAATAACCCAAACCCAGTGGTTTGAGGGCCAAGGAGAATGTTTTCCATATAACCTACTTTCTTCTGAACTCTCAGTTCTTTTTAATATGTTCTATGTTCTAGTAAGGCAGAATAAAAAGCAGTGAGGGATTTTCTTAGAGTTACTCAAAATTTCTTCTTCCAGCCATGGGCATGATGGGTTTAAACTTCCCTTAGAGCTTTGGACATTTGGAACAGTTTGCTTTCATTTTTGAAGCCCAGGTGATGTACCCAACTGCAAAGGAAGGTACAATTCTAAATATTGTATGAATGCCCTCTGTAGAATTCCTGGTAGAAAGAGGTATTTATGTCCTTCTGTGCGATTACATCAGCTCTTGTGTCTGTTCTCCCCATTGTCCTTCTGTTTTTCTATGTCAGTGTTTTAAAAACCAACGGGGGTAATGGAAACTGACTAGGGTAGAATGATCCCCTTGTGATTTGGAAGTCTTGCTAAAGGGCATTGGATGACGAGGATTTCCTATATTGTATATCAATTCCTGTGATGTTTCTCCATCTTTAAACACTCATTAGGTTGAAACTGTATGTCAGTCTGTCAGCATATTTTGGAATATAAAAACAAGTGTTCAGATACAGTGTCTGAATAGTCTTCTCTTAGTTTTTCAAGTAACAACTAGCGAGGGAAAGAAATTTCAGTGATCCTTGGGCTCTCGTTTTTAGTTTAGTCTGGTGACAGATGCCATGTCATAATACTCATCGGTCAACTTTGCAGTGACTGTGCATGTCTGGGTAATACTACACCAAAGTGCTTATTTACAGAATCCTTAATATCATTTGGGAGGTAGGAGTCCAGCAAATTGAAGCAAGCATCCTGACAATAGTGCTTTATGTTAAGTAAGTTTTAAGGACACCAGAAACCTTTTTCCAAAAAAACCCATATAATTTCACTAGAAGAATGAGGATTTAGCCTATCTGTCTCTGTTTTCCTATACCTTTTGCTAACAGTTCCCAGTTTATGACAGAGATCAAAGTATTTTAGGGCTTGGAATCTGGTGGCATGGATTGCTCTGTCACTAAAAAATGGTAGGGAGGGTATGGAGGAAGGAGATAACAGACCTCTTACTGGGTCATGAATAAAACCTACGAAAGGAAGGACACAAAGTCTTAAGTAATTATCTTTACTGATCATCATTTTTTTATATTCAAAGAGGGAATTCTTCACCTGGATAGCCTCACAGTCCTCCCTCCCCCAGCCCCAGTCTAGAAAGGACCACTGTTTTGGAAATCTCACCTAAGATGAAGGTCAGTCCACATGACAGACTTGATGGATGTGAGTCTCCTCTCTTTCTCTTTTCTCCTAGCTGAGGCTGTTACACTTACATAGTCTGCAAGTAGAAACCACTCTTAAGAGCTTTCGTCATCAGACAAGTAGTGAAATAGTTACTGAAAATCCTACAAGCAAAAAAATGCTGTTCTAGTAAAGGGATTATTATTTATGAATGTCTTCATCATCTTCTCAAAAACAAGTTGTACAGTAAAGCAAGGTTCCTTGACAGAGGCGTGGCAAAAGACCTATAAATACAGAGAACATTCTGAGGGTTGACAGATGGAGGGGGATGGGCAAAATGGGTGAAGGTGAGAGGGAAATCCAGGCCTCCAGTTATGAATGAGTAAGTCATGGAAATAAAAGACACAGCATAAGAAATACAATCAATGATACCATAGTAGGGATGTAAGGGGGGGACAGATGGTAGCTACACTTGTGGTAAACAGCATGATATATAAACTTGTCAAATCACTAAGTCATACACCTGAAATGTAACATGTGTCAACTATACTTAAAAAAAAAAAAAAAGGGATGTATTTTACAGGTGTCCTGTGAGCTGTGGAAAGATCAGCCAGAGAGGTAAGAAGTCATGTAAGAAAATCAGAGTGAGTTTGTAATAAAGCAACAAGGAAGTTAGGTTTGAAAATTCAAATTCTATTGAATTCTAAAGGTAAAGGTATTTCTTATGTTCTATAGAAAGTTGAGGTATGTGTTTCAAGAGTTTGGAAAGTTGTGTATAAATGTGTCTCCATGTGGTACATGTAGCTTCTGAAAGTGAGACCATCAGTCTGTACTTTCATCTGTTTTTGCACCTGTGACTCAAGACGGTTCAGAAGGTGTGAGCCTTGGGGATATGTGGATATATCATATATGGATATACATATTATGACAACAGTACTTGTTTTTCATTTTAGACTTCATTGGAGGGTTTTCAGCATGTTTTCGAATGTTTTAATCTAAGCAGTAGCTCCCAGGATGGCTGATTGCCTGTTCCAGGTTTGTCTAAGGCCATCATTTCAAACATTTTAGCTGATGTCAGAGCTCTGCAGTATCCCCATTCTCAAAGCCTCCTCTGTTTTATTAAATCTTCCTCCTGCATGTTTTAAAGATACTAAAAATGCTTTTCTCTTATTCCCCTTCACTTTAAGGTCCCTGGGGACCTTATTTTCTTCAACTCCTCCCATCTGGGGGGAGAAAAACACTTCTTATATCAGTTCCTTAGACATGTTGCAGGACCCTTTTGTATACTTTACTGAAATATCATTTAAAAAATGACACTTCCCAAGGACCAGTTTTTCTAATTTTGTTTTACATCTACATTATATGGAATTTCAAATTGATTGGATGACTATTTTTTTAAAGATTTTATTTATTTACTTGACAGACAGAGATCACAAGTAGTCAGAGAGGCAGGCAGAGAGAGAGGAGGAAGCAGGCTCCCTGCTGAGCAGAGAGCCCGATGTGGAGGGCTGAATCCAGGACACTGGGATCATGACCTGAGCTAAAGGCAGAGGCTTAACCCACTGAGCCACCCAGGCACCCAGGATGACTGTTTTTTTGTTTGTTTGTTTGTTTTTTGTTTTTAATAAAAATTTGAAAACTCATCTAACACAAACTTAAAACATACATACTTTTAAAATTTCTGTGTTCTGAATATTTAGAGCAAAAACAACCCAAGAAGCCAAGGGTGTGTGTGTGTGTGTGTGTGTGTGTGTGTGTTTAATGGAATGCTTAAACAAAAGCAGCCTCAGTTTTCTTTAAAACTTCAAGGCAAACACTTGGTTATGGGACAGACATTGCTAATTGGCTTGGCTGCCCTTTTTTGACTGGATACTAACCGGCAAAGTGAAAATTGTGTATCACACTCTGATGGGCTTGATCTGGCTCCTTGCCTAGGGATAGGAAAGTCAGACTCTCCAGGAATATCAGTATTTCTCATATCCTTCTGTCTATATTTACATGGCCTTTTCTGTTCCTACACAAACAGTTGTGGTTCAGTGAGGCAAATTCCTGTCAATAGCAAAGATTTGATATCTTATCCTAATAACTTAGGTATGACTTCCTGACACTGTTCAAAATAGGAAAAGAAAAATCCTTTTATCTGTTTTGCCAACAGAATATTATTATTTAATGTCATTAAGGAGCAAGGGTGAGATTTCTAAAATTAGATAACTTTAGGGCTTTTCAGCCTTGTCTTTGTTCCATAGATCCTCTTCTAAATAATATTAAAACACAAAATTTGAGGTAGCTGGTCTTCATAAGAAAATGTTATAAACCATGCTTATGTGACATGCAGCTGGGTTTACATGGTCATTACTCAAGAGTCTCCAGCCTCTCAGAAGAAGCAAGGCTAAAGTCACTTCCCTCCACCCTCCTTTGTTTTATGTAGATAAAACAGTTTACATTTTAGGGAGAGCTTATCCCAGATGACCTAGTTGATAGTTTTTCTTTCTATTCATTATCAGATTTTTTCCTCCAATTTTTTTTTTTTTTTTTTAAGATTTTATTTATTTATTTGTCAGAGAGAGAGGGAGAGAGAGCGAGCACAGGCAGACAGAATGGCAGGCAGAGGCAGAGGGAGAAGCAGGCTCCCTGATGAGCAAGGAGCCAGATGTGGGACTCGATCCCAGGACGCTGGGATCATGACCTGAGCCGAAGGCAGCTGCTTAACCAACTGAGCCACCCAGGCGTCCCATTTTCCTCCAATTTTTATATTGAAAATTATTTCTGATCCCATGTCATTCTAGAATCCCCAATATTTGCTATGGTTGTTATAGTAACAGTGGAACCCAAGTTTTTTTCAGAGCATTATTCAGCTTTTCATACCTAGGCAGAAACAATTTCAGAGGGAAGGTAAACCCAAAGCCCCAGTTATGGGAATGAGTCTCCAATTTCCTAAATAATTTGTGGTTATAATGATGGGTACCATCTTGCCTGGCACCTGGTCCACATCTTTCCTGATGTCTGCTATTAGAAGGGCAGGCTGTGGAGCCCCAACAGGAGCCAGAGGAGGGTCTGGATGACCTGAAGGGTAGTTGCAAGCATTGTGTTGCCTTAGTCCCTCTTCAGCACGGCTCGGATGAAATGCTCCCGGGAAAGAGCAGATGTGTCTAGAGAAAATTGTGTAGTTGGAAAGAAAGGGTTGTTACTCTTGAGTTGTACAGAGAACTGTGTTAACAGTAGAGCTTTGTGCCGTTGCCACAGTGTGAAAGAGGGGACCTATATTACTCTGAGACTCATGGCCTGCCCTGCATATGTCTAGCCAGCCGAAGTGAATGGGGCCAGGCTTAGCTGCCTTCATCTATGCAGTCACAAAGGTAAAGATGATACTGGCGAGGATATTCCCTCCCGGGAGGCCTTGGCCTCACGCCCCAGCAACCTTGGCAAGACTTGCTAAATAACACCTTTGTCTGAGACAGGGTTATGCATCTTCTCCTCTTCTACACCCTCATGACAAGTCAAGGTGGTTTAAGATCAAGAAGCAAGGACATGGCTGTGGACCATCCCTCTGCGCAGCTCTAAAGTAGGGCTATGCATACTGCCTTCCTGTAAGTTCTTGCCCAGATCCCCTTCACTTCCTTGACATAGCTGTTTCCAAATAACGTTTTGTGGGTTTTGTTTTGGGCTTTTTTTTTTGGCATGTTAAACTGGAAGTGCTTGTAATAAGAAGGAAGCTTACCGCAGATTTTGATTTTCAGCAAGAAAGACAGGTTTTTTTGGTCTGTTAGAGAACCTTTTCGAAGATGCCATCATGAACGCCTTACATTTCCTTTCTCAATGCACTGTGACCAATAGTATTTTTTTCCCAGTGGAAATGTTAGGAGGCATTTTCCAAGAAAGGATTCTGGTTTTACTTCCTAAATGAGGTGGTCAGACATAGATTAGCTCATGATGTCATTTTTTAAAAGGCTTTTCTGAATGATGGATTATTTGCTTGTGCTGAGAGATTACTTGCTTTTTCTTGTTTTTGGTTAGGTTAAAGAAAATGGTGGAAATGTTATTTATTGGCAGAAATTAACAAGTCTTGTGATCAAGAAATTAACTTGTTAAAACTTTCTTATTGTAAATTGGAAGTCACCTTAAAAAAAACTGTTAAAATTAAATGATAACTTAATTGGCTTCCTGTGTCTTTATTTCCTTTATTTCCTGGTAGAGGCACTTATATTTGGCTCTTACCCATTTAATAATAATTCCAGAAATCAAGGGAAAGCCTGCTGTTTGATGTCTGGTCTGGTATTTGATAAAGGAATCTCATCACAACAAAAAAAGGCCTCTTTCCCTTACCTCTTCAGCTCTTTCTTTAGTTTTAAATAGGCTTTGGGGGCTGCAGTGTTGCCTCTCCCATACTGCCTTGTCCCACCCTCCTTCCCAGCATTCGGCCCACCACTAACTCCTGCTAAAGTCCCAGCTCCTGCTGTGCCTTCTCTAGCAGAGGCCACTACTTGTAGAAAAGGAAAAAAGACATCCCAGAAAACATATAGTCTTTATAAAAGATAAAGATAATTTTTATTGTAGTAATTTAATAACTCTACTTATGATCCTAATAATAGACAGGCATGAGTTCCATCTTGGGAAAAGTAAAAGGAGCCAGAGAGACATTGAATGTGGAGCTGGACTAACAAGAAAAGGAAGTGTAAGACCAGCCTTTTGATTCCTCCCCAAAGTAGAAATACCACGAGGCACTGTGGATTCACAAGGGAAAATAATTGGAGGATTGAGGGAAGGGGAAGCACCCAGGGCCCTTGGAGTGGATAACTGTATCCATGAAGGCATTTTACCAATTCGGGCAGGAATCCCTGGCAGGCCTGAGTAAGGCAACTGTACTGTAAGCACAGCACCATCAAGGGCCACAGTGCAGTTTACAGGCCAGAAAACAGCCCAGATTTCTAGTTTCAGATAAGCTGGGTATGCATTTTGGAATCTTTGTTATCCAAATAGAGTCCTGACTTAGCAATGTCCTTATACCTCAGCTAAACCTTCAGTAAAATGAGGCAATGTTTGCCCTTATTTCCAGAGTTGTGAAAAAGGTTACTTAAAATCCTGGAAATTAAGAACTAAAATGCAACCTCCTGTTTACCTGCCACCACATGTAGACTGACTCCCTACCTTCTTGCCTGCTGTATGTAATCACATGGTCTTCCTGGGTTTTCTCTCATGACTTGCAGGTTTTAGAGAGAAACTAATCAATTTTGGTCCAGTAGATTAATAACGTAATGGTAAATTAGACAGTCTTTCTGATGTTGGTGCAGTTCAGGAGAAGGTTGGTCATAGACTTCAGGGAGTGGGAAGGCAAGATTATTCTTTGTTTGGAGGCCAGTGGACACTGTGAGGTCGGGCTCTGATCAACAAATCAACCCTCTTATCTTCCTTATCTCAGTTTACCTGCGCTAGGAAAGA